ACCAGTATGTCTTGTAACAACTCCTTGTAATCGTTGTGGCAGCCTATTTGTTAGGGCCTGTAAAAAGGGACACATGAAGTAACATCAGTGGGCTGGAGCCCTCCTGTCCATGTTTTGATTCCGTCCCTTGGGCATTGACCGTCACAGAGGGCTTATAAACCACAAAAACAAGGCAGATGATCATTCAATGCTAAATCCTTTTTTACGCTTCTTGATTGTCTTCGTGGAGCACATTCCGTATGTAAATCACTTTGCGTAGGAGCATTCGCTCTGCAGGAAAACTGACATCTGACTTACTTGATTAGCTTGGAAAGTCAGCTATAGAATTCGTCCTACTCTAAAGTGATTGCAATCCTGATGCTAATCACATTTTGAAGGCAGAAATGCCGCGTTGCATAGGAAGGGTCAGTGGCAGCAGGTTCTAGAGGAATATCGACTTCCTTGACACATTTGACTACCGATGAGTTATAGTCAACTTCTGACACGCATAAGTTCATGATTTGCAGGTGCAAGTCAATCTTCACTAAACTTCTGGGAGTTCGCAACTCATTTAATCCTAACTGGTCTTTAAAATGAGTCTTTACAGCTTCCGACGATAGGGACAAATGTCATCTTTCTCTGAAATGCCTTGTCTTCATTTTAGTTCAAGGCAGTCACCCCTTCCTCCCCAAGGCATTGTAAAGAGTACAGGTTTAGAAGTATATAAGAGCCGAGGCCTCATGGAAATCTCCATTCCATCGATGCGGAGGTCGATTTGAGGAAAAGTTTTTAAGACAAACCCACTCTTTTAACTTGGCAAACGAGTATGCCACCTAAGTGGCACTTGTCACACTATTCAATGACAACTTTTCCACTATCCGACCTACTACAAAGTGGGGTATTGAGGGGTAAATTTACCATTTATTCCAAAGGAAAGCCAAAAAAGTCTCTGTTTGAAATGGAGGTTTTCAATTCACCACATTGTTAAGATAATTACTAAATTACTTTTCAAAATCTACTTCATTATCAAAGGGTACCTGTAAAAGCTTGAAGGAGCTTTAAGTGTCACCAGTAACCAGGTAGTCTGATAGAGATGGATTGAGTTGAGATGAGTGTGTAAAGGGAAGTGTATTTGCCCGATTTATATCACGAATAGGTCAAGGCTGTGGTCAACTCATAGATGTGCTTCACTCCTGATCTCAGTACAACTCGTCGATCCTATCAAGAGGTTCAAGTCGACCACCTAAAGGCACTATCGAGTGGAAGGCATTTGGCTTGGTGACAACAGGTGGAATGGGGAAATGGAAGGTGAAAAATGAAGTTGTATGGGAACGAATTTCGCCATGCCTTAGTCTTACAAAATAATAGATATTTATGGCCAAAGACAAAATATGGCACTAAAGTCCATCAAAATGCCAAGTCACAGAGTGCAAAACACATAGACGTCAAACCTGTAGGACT